AGGCACCCCTGCCAACTAGGCTTTTTAATTAAAAATTGTGAACCTTATTTAGGTAGGTCATCAATAAGAACTTTAGCTATAGAAACAAAATGAAACAACAATAAAAAAGCCAAAGTACCTATGGCTTGTCCAGAGAAATTCAGGAGTTTGTGGCTTATCCACTTTGCAAAGTCCATTCTCCTAAGATGCAACATATCTTTTGTGTTCAATCCCAAAATTACACTGAAAGCTTGACTCCCTATGGTGTGAATGGTCTTTCACTCTCAGCAGAAGAAGGAGAAAATGGACGATTTTCTCTTGGGCATGACAGGGAAAGTTGGGTTTTCTGTTGACTTTGCAGCACAGCACATCTATGTTGGGATCTTCTCCAGTTCCTGCTCAACCTATTGTTCAAAATAACTGGTCTATATGATCCAATTAAGCCAGTCACTTCAGCTGAGAAAATAGTATGCTTTCTTCACTCAACTAGCAGATTAATTTCTTGAACGTGATTGGACCTGCTGTGCTGTTGTGTCAGGAGACTGAGTTTTCAATCAAGACTGAGCAAGAACGTGGCTGGGTTACCCCTTCCCTTTCTTGTGATATCCAAGCTAAAAATGCTGGACAAATCTTCATGAATCACTTGAGGTCAGAAAACTATATGGGATATGAGTATGGAGTGCTTCTGACTGATTATGATTAGGGCTGCCTGGTAATTTTTTTAAAGACTTTATTTATTTTTTTAAAAATTTTATTTATTTACTTGTTTGTTTATTTATTTTAGAGAGAGAGAACATGAGCGGGAGGGGAGGGGCAGAGGGAGAGGGAGAGAGAGAGAGAATCTCTCAAGCAGACTCCATGTTGAGCATGGAGTCCAAAGCAGGGCTTGACCCCATGACCCTGAGATCATGACCTGAGCAGAACCAAGAGCCAGACGCTTAATTGACTGAGCCACCCAGGTGCCCCACCTGGTAATTTTTTAGTAGAAGTATGTCTGATGTAATATGTGGGACATATTTCTACTAAAAAATTATTCATTGTTTATCTGAAATTCAAATCTACCTGGACATCCTGTATTTTATTTAAGTCCAGCAACCCTAGATAAGATGCCAGAATTGCCCAAAAAGGCACCATCCTCTTTTGCCATTTATCAAAACAAAAAAGATGATGTGAGAGTTTATGAAAGAATATCTGTGTTACAATAGCATCAAAACCATAACATAGCTAGGAATAAATTTAACCAGGGAAGTAAAAGATCTCTACACTGAAAACGTTGACAAAAGAATCAAAGACACAAATACATCAAAAGGTATCCCATGCTCATGGATTGGAAGAATTCATACTGTTAAAATGTCTATACTACACAAGGCCATCCATAGATTCAGTGCAATCCTTATCATGATTCCAATGATATTTTTTACAGAAGCAGAAAAAAAAATCCTAAAATTTATATGGAACAACAAAAGGCTCTGCATAGCCAAAGCAATTCTGAGAAAGAACAAGCAGGAGGCATCACACTTCCTAATTTGAGGCCATATTATAAAACTATAGTAATGAAAACAGTATGGTATTGGCATAAAACACACACACAGACCAATGGAACAGAATTTAGAGACCAGAAGTGAACCCATGCACATACAATTGATTAATATTTGACAAGAGAGCCAAGAATACTCAATGGGGAAGACACAATCTCTTCAATAAATGGTGCTGGGAAAACTGGATATTCGTGTAAGAATGAAACTAGACCCATTTCTTAAATCCACTTACAAAAATTAACCTGAAATGGATTTAAGACTTAAATGTAAGGCTGAAAACTTTAAAACTCCTAGAAGAAAATGTAGGGAAAAAGCTCCCTGATATGGGTCTTGGCAATGACTTTTTGGATAGGACACTTAAAGCACAAGCAAAAAATTAAAAAATAAATAAGTGGGACCCCATCAAACTAAAAAGCTTCTGCACAGCAAAGGAAATCATCAACAAAAGGAAAGACAACTTACTGAATGGGAAAAAAAAAAAAATTTGTAAACCATGTATCTGGTAAGAGGTTAATATTCACATTATATAAAGAGCTCACACAACTCAATAGCAAAAAACAAATAGTTCAACTAAAATTGGGCAAAACTGGGGCTCCCAGTCTTTCAAGGCCATCACTTCCCAATGCCCTTTGACCCTGCCGAGGATCATGGACAGGACATAGAGTGCTGTACTCTGGCATGGGAATAGGGGAGGCTGTAGCAGCATCAGCCTTGGGGTTCCAGGCCCCTGTCCTACAGATACTCAGCACGCAGTGGCTCATTTCCAGTGACCCAGCCCCATATCCCACTAGCACTTCAAGAAGATGTCTCAAGAAGAACAGGCATTTGGTTTAACAGTCAAAATGTCAACTGGCCAGACAAGGGCATATCCAAGGAGAGATCGTATCTGCTTTCTAATCTACTTGAAGACTTCTTGTCCTGACGGCGGACTGTATCAGCCCTGGCACTCCCACCTCAGTGTTCCTGGGGACAGGAAGGACCTCACTTTGGAGATAAGACCACTCAGTGAAAAGTCCCTGCTCACAAACTGCAAAACGTTAGATTTGTAAGGGTAATAGGTCAGCTGTAGTCATCATGCCCCACCAGCTCTGATGGTGATGTGTATGTGTTATTGCTTCATCACGTAGAATATGAAACAGGTGACTTTGCTTTCCTGAGGAGTAATATCAAATCTCCATTATTGCTTGACTTACTCTTGCCTTTTTTTAAGTTTTATTTATTTAAGTAATCTCTACACCCAATGTGGGGCTTGAACTTATGACCCCTGAGATCAAGAGTCACAAGCTCTTCCAACTGAGCCAGCCAGGTGCCCCATTCTTGCCTCTTGAGAAGAAAATCCTCTTATTATGGCTGCTGCTGGCACCCTTACGCTGGCATCACCCGTTCCTCAAAGGGCCCCTGCAAATTCATTTGTAATAATTGGTAAACTTGAATCTTATGCTAACAGATTGGGATCACATAGTTCTGTGCAGATAGAGTACTAACAATTAGTTTCCCTTCTAGAAATGTTAAATTTTTTTTTTAAAAAAACTTTAAAAAAAAATTTTTTTTAATTTTTTTTTAAATGTGTTTTTTAGAGAGAGAGAACACACCTGTGTGTACACATTAGTGGGGGGAGGGGCAGAGGGAGAGGGAGGGAGAGAATCTTAAGCAGGCTCCACGCCCAGTGTAGAGCCCAACTTGGGGCTCCATCTCATGACCCTGAGATCATGACCTGAGCTGAAATCAAGAGTCAGACTCTTAACCAACTGAGCCACCCAGGCACCCTGATTTCTGCAGTTAAAAAAATATATATATTCAACCTTGGAAGCAGTGTAAATATCTGATAATAACTAAATAAGCAAATTACAATTTAAAAAAATAGGCAAAAGTCCTGAATAGACATTTTTCCAAAGAAAATAGATGAGGGGCCAACAGGTTCATGAAATGATACTCAACATCATTAATTGTTAAGGAAACCACAATAAGATATCACCTCACACCTGTTAGAATGGCTAGCATCAAAAAGATGAAATAAATGTTGGCGAGGATGCGGAGAAAAGGGAACCCTTGTGCACTGCTGGTGGGAATGCAAACTGGTGCAGCCACCATGGAAAACAGAATGGAAGTTCCTCAAAAAGTTAAAAATAGAACTACCATATGATCCCGCAAAACCCCTTCTGGGACAATATTTGAAGGAAATGAAAACACTATGTCAAGGAGATCTCTGCACCCCCATATCCATAGCAGCATTAGTTACAATAGTCAAGACACGGAAGCAGCCTAGGTGTCCTTGGACAGATGAATGGATAAAGAAGTTGGGATATATACAGATACACACACACATATACCCAGAGGAATATTATTTAGCCATAAAAAGCAGGAAAGTCTGTCATTTGCAACAACATGGGTGGACCTTAAGGGCATTATGCTAAATGAAATGAGGCACACAAAGAAAAACAATGTATGATCTCAGTTGTTTGTGGAATCCTAAAAAATAAACGCCTAGAAAAAGACATCAGATCTATGGTTAGCAGAGGTGGGAGGGGGTGGATTGGAGGAAGGTGGTCAAAAGATACAAACTTCCAGTTGGAAGATAAGTAAGTACCAGGGATGTCTCACACAGCATGATGACTGACTGCCTCTAACACTGCTGTCTGGTACCTATGAAAGTTAAGAGAGTAAACCCCAAGAGTTCCCAGCACAAGGAAACAATGTATTTTTCTTTTTCTTTTTCTGTATCTAAAGGAGATGATGGATGGTAACTGATGGTGGTACTCATTATACACCTTAAACTTGCACAGTGCTGAACATCAATTACAGTTCAATACATCTGGGAGGAAAAAAAAGAATATCTGTGGGGGTATTTAGAGATCATCAGAAACCAGCATGGGACTTACTTGATGATTCTTGAAATCCCACAGAGATTAGATCTGGATGTCTATTTCCATGCCTTCTATAATAAGCTGAATTCTATGAAGGGGTCCCGCGAACTGCAATGTGATGCTCTGCCTGTTTTGCTTTGTTTTTCCTTTTATGTGCACACTCAGGCTCCCCAGGGAGACAGTAAGCCCACCGGGGCGGAAACTGTCTCCTGTTTACTGCTGTCCTCAAAGTCCAGCAAAATGTCTGGGCGCCAGGAGGTGCTCAGAAGTGCTGTGGATGACAGTGAAGGTGAGTTTGCTCGCGGTCTGAAAGCCTAAGGACGGGCGTTCTAGCTGTCTCCCTGGGTGTTTACACTGTGCTCCAGGGACGAGGCCGGAGGCCGGTGGCGTTACCTGGTCTGGAAACAGCGCGTCTGTGCTTTTGGAGGAGCCCCGTGGAAGCCCTTCTCTGGTCCGCTCCAGAACAAATGCTCTGTCCTTGACACCAACAGGAGCAGTAAGCATCCCTGCCACCTGCCAGCGAGCTGCTGCCAGGGCGTAATTTTACCGGCTGTTGTGGGGGAAGCCCGAGCTCAATAAGGCCCTGGTGGAATCAGGGGCCAGCAGCGCCTTTTCTTACCTGTTAATGAAGCCTCATTAGAAACAGCAAGACACCGTGCTGAGAACTGGAAGCCCCAGTCTGCCCTGGCTCTCCCTGCCAAAGGATGATTAACTTAATGATTTATGGCAGATGCTCTTTGAGATTAGGGGGCGGAGGAGACCGGGTGTGTGCGGCTCCGCGCAGCATGCTGTCCGGTGGAAACGCGGGAGGGTGTGCGGATCCGTTCTCCCCTCCGTGCAATAGCTGAAAACAGCGTCCAGGTTCTGGAAAACGCATGGCCATTCAGACCCAGAAGTACCTCCTTTTGACGGCTGACGTTTTGGGGCCCCCCAGCTGTGTTTAGGTTAGGGATTTAGGTCTTGGCTGGGGGGGGGGGCAGAAAATTAACTGTAACAAGTAAGAAAGGAAAGAAACAGACCTCAGTTGGCCACTTATCTATTTTCTTTGGAAAAATGGCTATTCAGACCTCAGTGCATCCAGCATAGCTCGCCCGTGCACGATGCCCTCTTCCAGGGAGGCCCTTGTACCCACTGCTTCCACGGAGGGCACCGGGGAGCACGCAGCTGTGCAGGGATTGGTGCTTTGCAGAGATGTAGCATCAAGTAGTGCCTTGACTATTTCTGAGCCTCAGACCACAAACAGAATTATGTAAAGGTGTGGTGCAAGCTGTAAATAGCTGTCCTGCCCACATGACTTGCTAATACAATCCCTTTGATCCTAGAAACCAAAAAGGAAAGCCAGTTGGCACGGTGTCAACCAGGAGACCCCACTTCTTGCCTTGCTTCTCTTTTAAGCGTTCTTAAGGGTAAAGAAGGTTTCTTTTGTTTATGTTGGCTTTGGCTCTTTGGAACCCCAGGGGTGGGGGGAGGGTGTCTTTGAATGTGCCCATATTGGACACATCCCCCTGTCTGGATTAGCCGCTTAGGAGGACAGACTCGTGTGGATATTTTGGTCTGTAATTCTGTGTGGCAGGTGGACTAACAGAAGCTTGGGGGAAGAATTAAGAAATTAAGGCTGGGCTTTGTGTGTGTGGTTTTGGAGACACTGAGAGCCTGTGGTAGGACACAGGTGGTGGTTTCAGTTTTAATCAGAAGGCAGGGGAGTCTTGCCTGGGTCGGTGGCAGATTCACACACTATATTTGGCTGGGCTAGGCCCTGAGAAGGCTGGGGGAAGGATCCTGGAAAAAAGTTCTGAGGTTGCCAGTGGGGTAGGCAACCACAACCTAATTAATACCCCCCTCCCCGACTTGAAGTACCGTTTAAACTGATTGAGAGATGCTCTGCCATCGCAGTGAGATGTGTGAGTCTGCACGAATATGCCTGTGCAGAGTGCATGAGAGAGATCTGAATGCTCTGTGATGCTTATGATCATGATATATTCAACAAAGCACCAGGCCAATCCGCTGTCTAGCAAGAGTGTTGTTTTTGCCCCCAAACTGTGGCAATCTTACATGCCATGAGCACAAGTCTTGCTTAAGCCGCACGTTTATGTTCATAAACCCAAGAGCAGCTGACCCTTGGATGACGAGGTAGATGGCGTCATGCTCAAGGACCCCTGCAGAAGCCATTAAGAATGGCTCTGGGAGCAAAAAGCCAGGCAGGTAAAGCGATATCCATCTTCACCTGACAGTGGGTTGAACAAGGTGGGCAGACTGGAAGCCACACACAAAGCATTTATTTGGAGAGGGACAAGGAAGGTTGATCAAGCTACAGACTTTAAATTAAGGCAGAAGGACCCTCTCCACTTCCAGGATGCTTTTCAGACTAAGCTGAATCAACCAGGGAATCCAGCAAGGAATGCAGCTCAGGAGGGTAGGGTGGTGGTGGGAGTCTAGGCGATGTGGGGGAAACTCCTCTAGGAACTTCACTGGTCACTTGGTGAGGGAGGCAGCATTTTCTTCGTGAAAAGAGAAGTTCCTTCATTCACTGAAACAAACAAAAAACGCAAGTGAGAGAAGTTGTAGATGATGAAAATTAGTAAAGAGGTCATAGTGGGAGTACAGGAAAGGCAAGAGTCTCATGGAAAGAATTTGGCCTTTGGAACAAGGCAGTTTGGGTTTCAAACCCCTGTTCCATGGTTTTTAGCAGTGTGACCTTGGGCAAATGACTTCAGCTCTCTGAGGCTTTGTCTCCTGTCTGTAAAATGGGGAGAATGATGTCATCCTGGCAGAGTTTTGGGGAGAAATGAAGATAAAGAGCTTAAGACTGAGCTGGTACCTAGTGGGCACTCACTAGTGGAGTTCTTATATTCTTGAAGTAAATTCAGCCTAACTCATTACTTTTTGTATATGTTTAAAACAATTTTATGTATATATTCAGATGTTCAAGGGCATGTGAAAAAATGAGCTTTGTTAGGAACATCTAGCTTTTATAATCAGCAGAAATCAATGCAATAAAAAGACAGTCGGGAAGGAGCTGGATGACATATTCTCTATTGGAAAAGAGGGAGGATTCTGTTGCTTCTATACAGTTCTCTTGCCTTCGGGAGAAAAATGTTACACAGCACCTTGGAGAAGCCAGGAGACCTGGGCTCCAGTCCCAGCTCTGCCTCCACCTCCCCGTGTGATCACAAACACATCCTTTTCTGCTCTGGGCTTTTGTATTCTCTCTGAAATTGAGGGGTTGGATTATGTAATCACTAAGTTGTCTCTCAGAGCTGATGTTCTATTCATTATTCCATGTATGTCTTGGAAGGGACTTTGGAGGGAAAAGTGAAGATACAGAATTATGATAGACTAAAGCTTGGATTTCCTTAACAAGCTGGCAAGGAAGCAGAATCCCAAGACTTACACATATGCTCCTGGAATCCTTACCCATTAAAAAAAGACTGCAAATATACACATACCTGTGTGCATGTGCATACACGTACATATACAGAATATATATGCCATTCCTACCCCTTGATTCTCTCCACTATGGAGGCTGGAAAAGCTAAGTAATTTCTTTCCCAGCATCCCTTGCAGGGAGGTATGCTCATGTGAGCAGGTTATGGTCAATGAGATGTAAGGGAAAATCCACTGGAGGCCTTCTCAACATGTTTTTCCTTCACTGATAAAAGAAGAGAGCTGCCTCCCTCTTCCCTCCCCTTCTACCATGAATGAAGATATGAGTCTGGAGCTGTGGTAGGCATTTGGCAACCATGGGTAATGAAATGAAGACAAAAAGCCCATATATCAGGGATGGTATATCAGGAAGATGAAAGAGCTTGGGACTTTAATGAAACCACTGAGGGGCCTAGACCACCTTATTTCTGGAACTCTTAAATAAGCACAGTTTGTGCCCTTGCCGCTCAAAGTGTAGTTTGTGGGCCAGCAGTTATAGGCATCACCTGGGAGCTTTGTTAGACTTGAAGAATTTCTGGCCTACCCCAGACCTAGTGAAGCAGAGTCTGCATTAAAAAAAAAGTCCCCAGGTTGTTCTCTGTATTTAAGAATCTGCTTTTTTGTTTGTCTCTTTTTTTCTTTGTTCATTTGTTCTTAAATTCTACCTATGAGTGAAAAAACAGACTCTTAAATACAGAGAGCAAACTGATGGTAACCAGAGGGGAGGTGGGGGGATGGGGGAAACAGGTGAAGGGGATTAAAAGCACACTTATCTTGATGAGCACTGAGTCATGTCTAGAGATGTTGAATCATTATATCATACACCTGAAACTAATATGATACTGCATGTTTATTATAGTTCAATAAAAAATAAAATATGCTCAGGTTTTGGTGTTCTGAGTGCACATTAAAGTTTCAGGAACATTAGTTTGTAGCCCCATTAATGAGGGTCTATTACCCACAGCTGAAAGTACTCCTAACAGCATGTATGTCCTCGGTATGTCCAAACATGTAGAAGTATGTCCATGTGTGTGTATGTGTATATCTGCAGATGTGAATATACGAATAGAAAAATCCTGCAAGGAAGACATGAACAGACATTTTTCCAAAGAAGACATCCAAATGGCCAACAGACACATGAAAAAGTGCTCAACATCACTTGGCATCAGGGAAATACAAATCAAAACCTCAATGAGA